ACCAATGCCTGTATCGGCTGGAAAGGTATAAGGAAATAGTTATTAAATCTATACTCTGTCTAATGAGAAAGCGCAACTGGGTGGCTACCAAAATTTATTTTTTGCTGCGCATTCCCACCTCAATATCGGTCACCTGTTGAACCATTGTATACACATTCAGGTACCCCATGGTGGTAAAATTTAGACCTCGAGACCCGGAGCGGGTTCATTTGAATTTTGCGGCTAGCGAGTTGTGCTCTCTCGTTGGACATAAACTAAATTAATTTATTTTTGCTCTGATTTAAAACATAATTAGATTGATATATATATATTATGTATAAATCTTATCTGTGTTATTATGGGTTGATTTAATGTTACATTTTTAATTAAGAAACTACTTTTTTTTCTTATTAAGAGGACGACCACACCTGCATGTGTAGTCTCTGTCTTACAAATGTTAAGGCGTAACATACCAAATTTACGATCAGCAGTTCACGTTTTATACTGTTAGCTTAAAATTTGGAGTGAATCGACCAATAATGAAACTTGATGGTAAGAACTTTATCTGTTTTTTGTTGGAAGTTTGTTTACAATAATTCAGTTTTTAAGTGAGATATGAGTATTTTTAATTTACATTTATTATACAAACATACCTCACTTAAAAACTGAATTATTGTAAAAAAACTTCTGGCAAAATATAGATAAAGTTCTTTCCATCAAGTTTCATAATAGGTTGAAGAATCACTCTAATTTTTAATCTAAGGGCATAAAACGTGAACTGCTGATCGTAAATTTGCTATTTTACGCATTTGTAAGACAGAGACAACACATGCAGGTGTGGCATCCTCTTAATGTTTTGTGCCAATGGTTTATTTGTTCTATTATTTAAGTTTAAAAGTTATCAATGAAAATAGTTTCTAACCATTACTACTATATAATGAAAATTAATTTTTGAGATGACAATTGTGTCAAAACTGTGTAATTGAGTGTAGTGGGATGATTTTAAGGCATTGTTATTGAATGCTAATTATTTTCAAAACTGGAAATTAGTGAAAGAAAGTGGTTAAAGAAGGAGGTAAAATCTGATAAACAAATAATTTTAAATTTGTTGATTAGCAATAAAACATAGAACTGTTTATTTGAGTAAAAAAATAAAAAAAATTTTGCTATCAACATTTTTTTAACTATTTTTATATCTAATGTATTCTTTCCTTCGATCCCTAAGAACATTTCTTTAAATATTTGCATTGTAACCAGGTATTTACTTTAAAATCTCAACAATTATTTTAAATTTTTCGAATAAATCACCATCATCAATGTTCTTAGCAGATTTAAAAACAAATACCCATACTTTTGTTAAAGTTTTAAAAGACTTCTAAGTAAGCATCAACTACTAGGGCTATTGTCGTTTCTAAAGATACACATTACTAATTTTATTTATTTATCAAAAAATTAACAATTATCAAACTGTTATTTTGAATATTTCAAATGTAGTTTGAATGGTCACCCAATAAAAATCTTTTCTCTATATTTTAATTCGAGTATAATGAAAATAAAATTAGCATTACATAATATGTCTAAAGTCAGATTTGGGCATTCTTTTATATTCATATTCTAAACATGTATCAAAAGAAGTGTTACGATAAGTACAATATCAGTAAATATACTGATATTTAAAGACAATTTTATCTTTATCTCTTAATGAATGTATAAATTTTATCTCAAAACAAAAACCAAAATCCAAACTTAATAAAGATAGTGTAATTGCAATTCAAAAAATATTGTTTTGTTGTGAATTTCATGGAAAGAAAAAGGTTAAGACATTTGAATATTTCAAAGTTAAGTGTAATAATAAGTCCTTTAAGGTCCACGCAAACTGTATTACTAATTAGTAGCGTTAACGTCACCAAACCAATTTAACTGTGTACCACTTGAATGCTTTATGTTATGCCGTCAAAATTATTCTCATCTGGCTGAAATATTTAGTGTTACTTTAAATTGTGATTACACTGTATATTTAAATGCATAATAGAACATGTCTAAAGTTATTAATAAATTAAAGTTACTTGTAATCTTTATAGTAATGTTTAATGATAAACTTTCAGATATACCCTCATGATCAACCAATGGTGTTCAATCCACAGAATCCAAATGCCCCACCAATTTATCCTTGTGGTAACTGTCATAAAGAAGTTCATGACAATGATCAAGCTGTTTTATGTGAATCTGGTTGTAATTTTTGGTTTCATAGGTATTTATTAAAAATATGAAATAAATATATTTGTATTATTATATGATTAATAGTGTTGCACAAACATTTTTTCTTTTATATTGATATTGTATCGGAATATTAAATAACAAACAATATCAATTCAATAATATGTAGAAAAAGTACATTAACAGATTTTTTGAACTCATAATAGCTCTTTATTACAACCCTGTCAAACTTAATGTGTTATATTGTTTGGCGTTATCTGACTTAAATTTTTTTAATTGTTTTCGTTTAAAGATAAATAAATAGAAAATACAAATGTTTTGATATCAATATTGATGTTTTTTCAATAGTTGACTCACATAAATATCCGAAAATGTATTTATTATTGTGCACCACTACTATTGTGTAGACATTTATACATTAAATACATAATTTAATTTAATTTTAGTATTAATGTATTTTAAATATTTTCAGGATTTGTACGGGCTTGATGGAACCTGCTTTCCAGTTACTTACAGCTGAAGTATACGCGGAGTGGGTGTGTGACAAATGTCTACAAACAAAAAATATACCTTTGGTAAAATACAAACCCTAACGAATACATTTAACATCTCTCAACCCTAAATGACTTTAGCTTTCGTGCACTGAACGTTACAATATTCACAGTGCTTCAAACCTTCATTGGATTAAGTACTTAATCTCAGTTTCGAGCATTAACTTAATTTCAAATACTTATTATTCGTGTATGGATTATAATTTATATGAAATCAAAAATAATTATTTTTGAGTTATTATCAGTCTCATAATTTTTGTTTTATATTTATGTGTGCATATATATATTATATATATTACATATATTTTTTTATTGAGTTACGACTGAGGTTTAAATTGATAATGTGTAGCGTATAAAAATTCCTCCTTTGTACTCATCAGTATTTCAACTACTTGCATACATTGAGCGTTTTGCCATTTGATTTTTATTTGGCATTTAAAAAATCTAAAGTTCCTTCGAATATACAACAAATTGGGCCTTTTCCTTTTCAATCTACTAATGCATTGTCTTATTGCCACTTTTATCTTCTTTATTATTTTACTTTTATTACTTTTTTCACAATTGAATTGTTTTTATATAATGCAGAATGCTCTTAACAATGTCATCATTTATTATATATTTGTGTATATCTATTATCATTGGTTATAAATACTTGTGTTTGTAATCAATGATGTATTGAAGAAACATTTTTTTTTTTTATATAGAAAATAATTTAACACAATCAATATGTTTGTACATAGTTAGTTCAATTAAAAAATATATTAAAACCGAGAAACTTATGAACTTGAGATTGTAAGTTCTAAGTGTTACATGTAACTAAATAAAGTAAAATAAAAAATTTGTAATCATTTTTGTATCTTTATAATTCACTCAAGCAGCTATTGTGTTTCACTCAATTTAATATATATTAATGAAATGACACTATTTTGCAGATTGTTCAATGAATATTTGTACATCTAGAACAATTAGCAGAACAATCAGTTTGTATTTTTTCTGGATTATAAATGTCATCAAGTTCCAAGCAACCATTTATTACTATATTCAACTGATCATATTGAATGGTGTATTTTTAAAAACTTCAAGTACAAATTTATATTATATCGTTTCCAGTGATGACTTTAGTTATATTATAGTTAAACAGTCAGTATTTATTTCAAATTATTGAAATAATTTAATAATCATAACATGATAAAACCATATGGCAAATTACATAAAAGAATTAACTATATTATATTGTATAATACATTACAGCCAAAAGTATATAATATAACATCATATACCTATATTAGTCTAAGGTCATGTCTCGGTCACAATCAATAGAAATTAGTACACTCTTGGAAACAAGATGGATTTTTATTTTTATCTACTGAAAACAAAACAAAATGATTTATTTAAATCTATGAGTAATGTGAAAAATGATATTTCATATCTAATTTATTCAATAATTTCTACATAAAATACAGTTAAAGATATACACATAAATGTATAGTATGTATATATGTATATATCTTTAATCATGATTAAAACTTTGAAATAAAACGAAATATTTTATTTTATTCAGCTGAAAAACTAGAGAAGTATGTTCTACAATATTTATTTAATTACACACATGACAATTTAATAGTGTCTTAAAATTTCAAAACATCTTATACCCCATGCAATGTGGACTAGGGAAATGACCACACTGTACAGGGGTCTTCGATAAGTGTTTAATAAATCTGATATTTTTTTATTTAATTCATCTGATCTATGTAATTAAATAATGATACATCTAGTCCATGACTAAATAAATATTTAATTATCTTTATAATTTAAATATTTTAAACGTTAGGGCTTTAAAAAGCATACATTGGAATAACTTGGTCAAAATATTGTTAAGTGGACCTGTGTCAAATATTTTGAAAATTTCAAACTGAAAATATTTCTTGGGTAAAACAATTGTCATACGCCAAATGATGTGAACTTTCATGTTTGGTACAACGTAAGTCTAATTGACCTACTTGCATATATTGAGCTTCACTGTTTACAAAAAATTGAATTCCTTAAATATCTTCATTCTATAGTTATATTGTTTTTTATAATGAATAGTTTTAAATATAATATCACGATTTATTATATTAAATATTTGTGTACCAATTTTGTCATTGGCTATTTGCAGTGAAAATTAATGCCTTGTATGAATTCAGATAATAATTTAAATGTTGAAATAACTACTATGTGTTTCAATGAAGTTATAAAAAAATATCAAAACAGTGAATAAATAAATAATGTTATATTAAACTTAATAAATTAACAAATATAGGTACATAAAATCATCACAATACGTTCACCTTATCCAAACTGAATAATTACTTTCAACAATACCAACTTTCTTTAATTATATAAGTGGTTTGGGTATAACATATACATCACATTTAATCATTGTACCAATCCAAGAATAGTAAGGTAAATGAAAGTACTAATATAAAGAACAATATATATACTCTAAGACCGGCGTTGGTTTGTATCGCAGATCTTATTTCAGTGTTGGCATCAACAATGTTCTCAGTAGTATTCACTGCAATTGTATCTATCCTCTCGAGATCCTGATCTTGTTCCAATATTTTTTCTGTAAACAACTCTTGCAACTCAGCAATTCGTACAGCCTTGGACTCTATATTTCTTACCTACAAGAAAGAAAGAAAATTCAGTTCAATAAGAAGTGAGGTAACAAAACAATTCCAAAATTTAGTTGTACATACTTCATTTGATAATTGATTTAATTCATTGTACATTTCTATATTTTCGGCTTCAAACATTTGCAATTCTTCTGGTGACAATTCATCATCTAGTTGAGCTGCATATTGTCGGTCAGCTGCTTCGTACTCAACAGCGGCCGCGTTATTGGTTTCTTTTGGGGGTTCAAACCCGTGAGTCAAGTTGCTCAGCTTTGAAACGTTTTCATACTCTAGACATCTTTGGGCTCGTGTTGCTTTGATCTCTGCAAACAGCTTGGTAACGGATTTTTGACGCCATTCGACATAGCGTATGATCTGACGTCTATGATCGTCTATTTGACTGCAATCGCCTGTCAAACTTTTTTTAAGCACCATCAACTGTTGACCGCACGTTTTGATTATGTGTTGCGCGCCTATATCGATTTTGTCACGGTCCGCGTCCGTCAAAGTGGTCTGCTGATTGAAAGCCTGGACGTCGATATAGTCCTTAAAGTGACGGTTCAAAAAGTCTGTCAGCTTAACTAGATCGTTGACAATGTCCTTGGCCCTACGAGAAAATTCGTCTCGACGTGGCTTACGTTGCTTTAGAATATCCACCTGTGGCGGTGCTGGAGACCCGAATGCTCTGTTTCTCGTTTTGATAGTCTTAACATACGCTTTGAACACGGCGGTCTTGTCCATATTAACTATAGAATCATCATCTGATAAAGTTAAACTAAAAAAGTTGAGTGTGACGAAGACTTTTTGAAAATTCCCCGCTATCATTAATTGTTATTTGATAATATTTATTATTGACGTGATAACAAATAGCGATATCTCACGATTTAAAACCATGGTCATGGTGATAACTTTGATAGTGGTGCACAATAGACCGCCATTTTTTGTTCAAATCTCATGTACGTTATGCAAATAATGTACTTTTAATATTATTATTATTATTATTATTATTATTATTATTTATTGCCTATGATCAATAGTTTACTCGTTATTTCATTACAATAGTTCTTAAAAAAACAAATAAGTACTCAACATACACCATTTTTCTCTGTTTATTATTTTTCCAACTGATGGGCGATTACTTATAACTGTTGTAGAATATATACTCTGTTCGTCGCTCCCGACCATCATTGATCTTCTTTCTTATATACTGCTACATCAGTTAAAAAATTATTTTATAAATTTATTTAAACAATTTCAGGGTTATGTATATTACATTTATACTTAGGACAAATTGCAATCGCTGTAAGCTTGTAACTTATTATACAATAAATAAAAAAGACAATACTCTTATACAAATATTGGTAGGTAGGTACTTCTATTATTATTTATTATATATTTGAAATTTTGAAATACTGCCCTAGCCCACCCACGTATGGCTGTATAGGCTCTTTATACAAAAGACAATTTGACAATTTATTATATTATTATTATATTATTAATATTATATATATATATATACCAAAATTCTAAATAGTAAATACCCAGTATATATACCAATATTGAATATACTATGCCATTTCCTATTACGACGGTTGTTGATTTAATGTTTTGCTAATAATTCCTACCTTGTATTATTGCTTACTCAATTAATTAACAATAAATCGTAATCATTATGAACAACTAAAAATGAATACCCAACACTCTTCTCATAAATATAATAAAAGCTTGGATGAATTGAAGTGTCTGTAAAAATCTGTTAAGAAAGGTCTCATCGACCACAGAACTCAAAACAAATTTAACTATAATATATTATAAAATGTAATAAAGGCAAACCTCCCCTAACAGACACTTTTAAATAGTGGACACAGTTTGAGCGACTGAAACTGTCCGGTATTTAGTAGTTTCACTGTATTATAATTAAATACCTAACACATAACTGATTATAACACCTAATATTTAAACTCGATTTAAACTAGTGCCATTACAGTTGCAGGGTATTATAGTAATATTTATTAGGAAGGTACCTATACGTATTTTTCTCCGCCAATCAACCCATATAAATTAATATATCAATATCAGTATAAATAATTTTGATTTATGTTTCCGAAACGAACTTTTTTTATAATATACATTATTTATTTATTCATGCGTTGTTGATGGCTTGCAAATTGCTAACATATTATTTACGATTTTCTACCGCCTACCTTTATATCTTTTTCAAGATTATAGGTATGTTTGTGTTTTTGTATGTTTAAACTTCCGGGAAAACAATCAAATTCGATTCTAGATTTGTACGTAATGATTTTCATCGAAATTTGTATTTGTAGACAATATCGCTAATGTCATTAGCAACAGTTTAATAACAACTCTTCATCGAAAATAAAAGTCAAACTGTAATCAACGCAACCAAAAAATAATAATAACCTATGGAGGGAAATAAAACGATTGGCATCGGCAGAATGTGTCCAAATGTATCCAGAACAATTTATGAGAAATAATTTGGTACCTGTGTCCTATACTATAATATCTTCAATATCAAAAAAAATATTTGGATAATATACGCTAATATTTCTGTAAAACAAACTTTGACCCAACTCCATTACTTTTATGTCTTATACGGTAACAATGCATTTAAATTCACATTTATTACAAATAAATAAAAATGCAATATGTAGGTACTTAAAATGTGTTATTATTTTAATTCCAATGTATGAATGTAGATTTTTTCTCAGTTTTTTTTATGTTGCACTGTATCTTAAATAGTACCTACCTATGTAGAACATTTGTATTGGAGTTTCGTTTGAAAAAAGTTTGTGACTGACACAAATTGCCTCAATATAAAACAATGCAGTGTTGACCTGCGATTGTCGCTGTAAACAAATTGAGTTACCGGAAGTTACCTGACGTAGTCGAGATAACCAAGAGTATCATAATATTTTTATTTTTTACCTATCTACTTAAATTATTTAAAAACAATGTACTGTCATCATGACCGGGTCATGAGTAATACATGTTTTAGATCGAAAAAAACATTATTTTAATGGGAATGTTTAATATATTATTACTAAGTCCAAAGAATATAAATTAATAATTGTATTCACGTGCTAACAATCTATACAGGATGTAACTTTGCAGTCACCCCTGCTTGCACACATGACCATATGTTCCTGATGTGTCATTTTGATTGGTAATTTTCAACGGTTTTTATTTTCCGGTATCCTACATACGTGTATGAAAATTGCCTACTTCAAACGCCTCTAACTGGTTAATAAATAATAATTGTATTATATTGATTAAATGATAATTGATAACTAATGCAGTGACATATTTTTCTATTAGCTATAAAACACGTTCAAAAAAATTCATCACAGAATTTTCTCTATTAAATAAACTAAATATTAGAATAATGTATAAACTTGTCTTGATCATTATTTTTTTATTAACTATATTTAATATACATATATGTGCAGTATATTTTTAAATGGATAATAAATAAATTAATATTCATTTAGGATGATAGGATGAAGTATTTATTTCAAAATTGATATTGATATAAAAAAATAGAATACATAAAAAGAAAAGCTATTCAATATACTTAATTATTTTATATTATTAAAAACTACTTAAAATCTAAAATCATACATTTTATTAAACATTTAATTTTAAAAGGTAACCATGGCCTAAAAATATAAAATTAACTTTTTTGTATTAACTTTTACTTTTTTGAAAAAACTACCAACGGATTATTAGGGCCCAATGTGAATATTTTTAAAATTATTTAAATGTTGTGTAATTTAAAATAAGCCGGAAAGGATACAGAAGATGGTAACGTATATGTAAGTTAATCACTATTTGTATTTTTTTTCTAAAAGTAACTACAGCTATTAGTATCATAAATGTATGATGTGTACTTCGTGGACAACAAATACATTATTTAACAGTATAGTTAGTTTATTCCATAATATTTTTTATGTTCTTATTCTTCTGCCTCGTGTTTTTTGAACGAAGTATTCGAAAAGTAAAATAATAATGATCATTATCTTGGTGGATAATGTTTTGATGGTTTTTAAAAATATGACTACCTTTGGCAGCAGATGAATCACGAATAATGTCGAGTATCATATATAAAATAATATGTTTATGTGATTATTTTATTTTTTAATATAACAGTAAATTGTGTTTGATTTTATGATGGATCTATATTCCATAAAATAAGTACTTTTTAACATGCATACTCAATTCGTGGTAAAATTATTCCGAATTACATTATGCGTAATTGTTTTAGAAATAGTAAGCGTCATAAATTGTGTTAAAATTAAATATCACTCGATGTGGATTATAACGATATCATTAGTAAATTCATTTTAACATTTTATTTATCTATTTCATTTTCTTATAACATGCAGTGTGATGAATTATTTATTATTTTCATTATTATTATCATATTATTTTGTATATATTGTGGCATATACTATTATAGGTGTATAGTGTATACTATATATACCTATAGGTACTTACTCATATGAACTAGCATTAGTTCTATGATTATTATTTATTAGTGGTTATTCACAAAATATCAAAATAATTAAAATAATAATATTCCTTTTGCAGTTACATAGTTGTATATTGTTATTAATAACTAGGTATAACACCCAACTGCGTATTAGAAATATTTTATAAATACGATTATTCAATTTTACTTGGTATAATTTTACATTTCCGTGATTAGATGGGTTCGACGTATTCAGTGTTTACTCTTTACAATTGCTTAAATGTGTACCTTTATTACGTAACAAGGGCTTAGTAGTAAATAATTTAATGAACTTGAGAAGTATCGGTTGCATTATAAAACTTTATATATTTTTGTAAAAATACCTATCTGGTTATCGCCATGATATTCAGTATTTCGAGAAGGTTATTATTTATTAGGAATTATTGTTATACATTGATTTTAATACGATATGTTAAAAACGTAATGTATAATATTATATTAATATATTACACAAGAATAATTGTTTGTCAAAAAATTATCCGAAAAAAAATAATTTCACAGAAATATAATAAATGGAAAAATAATGTAAAAGATTTAAAAAATTCTAAATTATAACAATATGTTTGCACTTTCATAATTTGGAAAAAAAGAACTAACTGGTTTTCTATTGATTTATTTTATGACATTTAAGTAATAAATTTGGTATCAACAAAATTGAAAAAAATGTGTGTTTTTACTTAAACCATTTTAATTATTCTAAATATTTGTTGAACGATTATAACAAGTTAGGTATTTCTTTTACACTAATAAAACAATTAAATAATTATGATTTCATTAATTTATATTCAACATTTTTCAAGCAGAACATTTTCTTGAAAAATAACTTTGTACTTTGTCGACCTTTGTCGAACAAATATGGTGGGAATCTTTTTACTTTGCATTTTAAATTTTTTTACAAGAGTATAAGTACCTATATTATGTTCATGTTTTAGCTCTTACAACTTATTTTGATTAAATTACAATTGAAGCTGAAAAGCTTAAATTTTACACGGTTTTTTTATATTTAATATTATGTGAAAAATTAGAAGGAAAAACGTAATATTTGTATTATGCTAGTAAAATTGATATTCCGAGACTAATTATGTGCAAACGTGTAACGATGGCGTAAATGCATTTAAAATAATTGAACGGTGGCTCACTACAAGAACAAAATCTCTTTAGACTTCTGCCATCATTGCATCACATGGGAATAACACCCTTACGGGAATCATGAGAAATGTGTGTGACGGTATTCAACGGAAACAGGGCAGCCAGGATGGCCGGTGTATGTCCGGGAT